TTGTGGGTGCTTTCTCAACAGCACCAACTACAGTGTGATGGCTGATGCGGGAGGTTGATCAAGGGGACCTTTGAGGACGACGATCAAAAGATGAGAGGGGCTACGTAGTGCATTAGTTGTTTGTTTAATCCCAAATTTTGCTAAAGGGAACACATTGGGTTTCTGCTATCGTACTTCCGCCAGGAAGGCTGGCCTATAAACCATATCAATAGCCTTAAGTCCTCTTTAATTGGAAATACCTGCATATTTTGCCCCAGCATTATGTCTGATTTTGTCTTCAGGAAAGTCTGAAAACGCTACGTCAAATAAGTGAGTAACGTATTTGCAGTTTAATAAATGATTCGAATAGCCTTATTTGGTTGTTAAGTTCTTATGAAAAAGCAAAGGAAGTGTTTTTTTAGGAACCAGTAAACATAAAACCACTCTTAACATTGCATCCTAAGTGGCCTTACTTTCTGAACGCTTTTTTACAAATAAATTCGTAAAGCGGGGATGTTGCAATTTTAGTGCACTCTTCAAGCGCCATCTCGAATCTCATCACATTAAGAGTGTAAGTGTCAAAACACTCGTTAATAAACGAACAATCAGGCTCAGTCTGAGCCAGTATATCTGATATCGATGGATAAAAGATCATCATCACTGCCGCTGGAGTGTTGCGAGGAATTCCGATTAGCAAGGGGATTCTCTATAACGCAGGCCTCGTTGTTGCACCATTCAACACTACTGCTTGATCTGGGGAGGTATTTATATCCACAGTGATGCGAATTTTTAGGATAATTCTGAGTATCTTTCGAAAGGGAAAGTCCAATTCTGAGGTCCGTGCATAGATCAGGATTCGATAAGGCCAGGAGAGGAGAAAAATTGTGGCTAGAAGGAACGTCCTCTGATGAAATAGAGCAGATTTGTGCTTAACCACCAAGATTGAAGGTTGAATTTCCGCCTCGTTATGTAATTGAAAACCTATCAAAGCAGAAGTTTCATCGAATAGTCATTGATTAAACCATAAAAAATTGTAACTATAATAAGCAGTAGCTATAATAATAATTTCATAATTTATTTTTAAATATCCGCAAAAAAGACTTTTTGATTCTGGTAAAGTGGTTCAAAACAAAATTTAATTGAGAATGAGAATTAGATTTAGGATGCCAAAAACAGGTATAAAAGGGGGGAATTCAAAATGGCAGCCTCATATGCTTAATATTCTTACATGTAAACCACTAAAATAGGGATTTAAATTAATTACGAGAAAGTCGTATACAAAACGACTCAAGCTGCAATAGGTAACTCATTGGCAACGTTGGGTGTAACCCCTTTTTCCGTGATACCCTGTATCAGAATGGCGTCAGGACGCACGCTGAGCAGAACTTTCATAACTCTTGACAGATTCAAGTTTACTTGTTAAGTGAATGCAAGACTCTTTGGTGCAAAAGTTTGCTGTTTTATGCAATTGATTCTTAGCAGCATATCCAGCATTTCCAAGGCTCCTTTGAAATCTCCTTACGCTATTTACTCATACTTTCGTAATTAAGAAATTTGGCTTTGGTCGATTTGATAAATAGCCGACTTGTCAGCTCCTTTACACATCAGGTAGCAAGTTTTGGTCTCGCTATTCTTGTAAAACTTGAATTTTTTGTCTAACTCTTCATTCTGATTTCTTGGACACTGAGTTCCGCCTTCGTACTTCCACTGGGTGGCTTGGGCTCCTCCTCTCTTGCATATGTCGGCAATAAATATTCTGCGTTAGTATTATGACTTCTTTTGTCTTTAAGAAAGACTCATGACTCTAAATCCTCAAACCTTTGTCGCATTCTACAACCCAGACTCTTTACGACTTCGGCCAAAAATTATTTCAGAGTCTATTTTTGTCTTTGTTCACAAATAAGTCACCATAGATGTCGGTCTCGTAGCACATCTAAACCATTCATTTACTAAAGTGCTACCTTGAAAGCATTTGCTTTTATGCACCATATGCTTGTAAGGGACATATGCTCCCCTGTCCACCTTCCGATACGCATTTAGAGTCGTTCGTATTCAAATACCGAGCGAGATTTCCTCTTATTTCTAGGTCTAATATATACATCTATGAAAGTTTTTGAAAGCCTCAAAATAAGTGCCCTTCCTATCTTAAAATTTTGATAGGAATGTTATGAGAATCATCTGAGCTCTACGTTGTCCTTAAAGAGAAATTTGCAAAATCAACAAGTGACCGATTTATTCACGAATATGCAGGAATTAACTATATGTGTGAGTTATCTTTTTGTAAAAAGAAAGATGAAATTGAAGAATGTTATACACAAGTTTGAGTTACGATGCTAGACGTATTTATATGATTTAACAGCTGCTATTTAGTTAAGCATTTACGATTAATATTGGTTAGGCCACAAATACACATATGTATCGCCGACCAAGTTCAGTCTTTTCCTATCAACGGTTGTTAACAAAACTTGCTTAGATCATGTGTATGTGGGTATTTGGATTTGTTACGCCCGAGCTGAAAGATTGCCTTGGAACGTACTAAAGCGCAGTTGGCTGCCATAGAGTTGAATGGAATAACGCAGTTATGAAGTTGCATTTACAGAATCACTTACCCCGTAAACTCGGTGGCAAAGTACAGCATCTATCAATGACAGCTAAATCTTCATTTATCACCTCCACATCCCAAGTGAACGACTAAGATGATTTTTTGCTGCCATTGATAACAAATTACTTTTAGAATAGTGGGAAGAAAGCGACGAGGAAGTGCGGCAGCGGCTTCCATAAAATTAAATTATTATCAGAACAAATCTCCAGAAGAAGAATTTTACGTGAAGTGCTAAGTCCTGTTAATTAGCGTATTTGGTAAAGCGCTGAAATCATAATTTCGAGAAAATAAGTCGTTTTATGAAAGTTTGTTCTATTTTCTCACTCTGTTATTTATAACTGTTACAATCTTGAACAAGTTTGCCGGCCCTATATTAAGAAGCGCGCTTGTAATCGAGCAGTTAGGACTTAATTGTCACCTTGTGTAAGTAGTAAGCAAACTCATCACCCTGCTTCCATTTCCCCGATCCTCTTTTGACTTAAACGTTAAATTAATGGCTTGCGTAACTGCAACATGGGGGGAAAAGTGATGTAATCTCAGCTTAATATGGTGCTGAATTGTAATTAATGTTTTACACAATCTCTAACTGAGGAATGTCATTAGAAGTAACAAGTTTTGTATCAATGAAAAATAGAAATGGCTAACTACAACAAGAAGCATTCGTTTGGGGCGCGTTGTAGAAGGAGAAACCACTTAGCTTAAGTTCCCATGGAGATGTCTAGCCATATAAGGTTATTAGGTCTGTCTAGTTGATCTGGCTTACGCGATTATGAGATGAGCAGGCAAACGAGCTTCATCGTGCTTTCATTTACCTAAAGGCTATGACTGAGTGTTTTCTGTCAACTGTAAAGAATGACAGTTCTCAGTTATTACCTTCACCTACCTCATGGATTCCAGTCTTATAGTGCATACATTAGCAGATATACCTTCATAACTAATTTTGTATTGTATGAAAATGAGATGAAGCAGTAGTGGAGTGTCTGGCATACACTACTTTGCTTGGACTAAGAAATAATATGCATTGCATTCCTACAAATTTAAATAGAGGATACCCATTAATTTAGAATATTCTAATTCTCCGTCTTACCACAAACCATTGATAAGTACTTTAAAAATGAAATATATGGAGTGAGAAGGTAATTTATTTTGGAACCGCAGCTTGTGATAGCATTACCACAGTTTTTAAACTCTGTAAGTTCCAAAATTTAAATATTTTATAACTTTAAATTGGATTGATTTACGACAAAAGTGATGGGTTTTAGCGATACATGATAAGGTCATGCAGTACCAATAAATGCCCTGCTTTATGCAATGCATATTCCACAAATTCCTACCTCTGTGCTCCTTCCCAAGGTTAGCGCTGTTAAGTATACCATATCAGCAATCAAAGGGATCTAAAAATGGTGTCTCCCTACTCATTTGCGTTTATGATGGAAGATAGTTGGAGATTTCTTAGTTTATCCTAGCTTGACTTTAGAACTTTTTGAATTAAAATAACACAAATTAGACATTAGCAAGTTTCAGCATTACTTCCTATTCTAATAACAGTTTCATGTTAAGTTGTTTAGATTTCCAGCCCACCGGATATTTGCGGAGTAGCGCACTGGTTTTCATAAAAATAAGTACGGATTTTGCGAGTCCTTTAGATATAAAACATCGCCTCGAATAAATACTGCAGGCATAGAAACCCACTATCCAATGGTAATGGAAACAACTTCATGAAATATTTTCATTTGAAACAGAAACAGAAGTTTATAAAATTGATTACGAATGTGCCATTATAAAGCTATTAAAGCATCTTTGCTAGTAACTAGCGAGACAGATATTGGAGAGGGATTTCATTACTTCTAGATAAAATCAGGTGAATAAGGTGAGCTTTGGGCATGTTTTTATTATATATATTCTAATTGGTTCTTTTCTGTTCTAACGAAAAAAATTCAAATTACCTTTTCTCCCCCCTTCAATAAAAGTAGCAAACGGTATTTTACCATTTTGCGACACTAAAAACTTCACTCGCAGATCCTTCAACTCGTCACTACGTTGAAGGGCTATACCGAAAAGGCAATAAGGTTAAATTCAAAACTTCTGCTGGAAATCTAGAGAAACGCACCTTCCCTTATCTCTATAAAGTCATCATTGGACTGTTGTAGTTTCATGAAGCTTTTTTTATGCCCTTCGTATTGTTGTCTGGTGGCCTCATTGGCAAAAATGAATTCCTTCACAAAAGTCAGATGGACTGCGGCGTCCCACCACTCGTCCCAACTAATTCTTGGCGACTTATCGCACCAAACGCACTTGAAAGTGGTGGTCTCGGTGATGAAGTGCTGTTTCGCGAAGGTAATAACCCGATCATGCGCTTCTGTGCTCAGAGCTGCAGTCTCACCCCTGTGCAAGCTGGTCTCTGTGCCGGCGGTGAAGCGAACTTCTGTGTATCTCGGACGACAGTGGCATCTGCGACTTCGACGCCGAACAAAGTGGTAGGAGAGGCAGAACCACCACAACTTCGGATCGTGCTTTACTGCCACAGCGATGCGGGCGGCGATTTGGGTGACTTCAATGGCCGTGGCGAGCTCCAGTCGTGTGCGGCAGTTGAAGCATTCAAAGAGATAGATGAGGTAGAGCAAAAGAAGCATCATTGCGGCAAGGGAGTAGTGGACGGGCTGACACACATCCCTCGACGACATTCGCAAGAGGTTGAAACACCAGACCAGAGAGATGAGGCAGAGGAGAATTAAGAGGGTCAGCAGCAGACACCGCCACTCCTCGCAGGCAAAGCGAATAACTTGCACCCAACGCCTGCTTGTGGGACTTATCTTGTCAAACAGGGCAGAAGACGTATGCTGAAGTACTCACAACTACCCAATTCGTTTATTGGTGTGTTAGAGTTAACTTGAGCCAGTGGATATTACTTTTTAGGCATGTTGGGAGATTGTGGGTGGAAATTCGGTCATTTTACAATAAGAGACCGTGCGAAGCCAAACAACGCTATAAGCATAAGATGTCCACGGATTTCATTGACTTGCAGTGGTGATAGTTTTTCGCTCTTTATAGATTCAAGCAGAGAAATTTTTTGCATTGTTAAATGCCAATTTGCAAATAAAATTAAAGGTTTCGATCTAATAAAAGCACCTTCAATAGACGCATTTTATGCCGCACAAAGCGTTCTAACACTAATATTGGGTAGCAGTACGCAGATAACGTGAATAAGTACTTATGTGTTAAAAAGGATAATACAAGCAATTCACAGAAGTGTAGTTTTGTTCCAGTAGCTGGAAAGACCATTTATTTATAAAATTCGGCCCAATACGTGGCAGACCTTTTCTCATCATACACGAATAATATAATGATTATGCATGTTCATATTCTATAATGTTGGTAACAACTCAGACCAATAATGCGGTGTACTTTCGACGAAATACAACATCTGAATATGTCCAATCTTTAGAAATTTCTGTAAAAGTTTGCCAACAACACATAGCTCAGGTTGTTTAGGCTACAACTGTGCAGCTCTTAACAGCTTGGATACGGGTCTCAAGTTTTCCAACTGAGGGGCACAAGGAGCACTTTCGCTGCTAAAATTTTTGGGGAGAATTAATTAAAATTCTTTCTTAAACGGCTCTGCCCTGTCCAATGTGGAAGAAAAAATGGAAAAGAGCATATCCAGTGGCGTCGACGTCTAAATCACTTGAGGCCATTTACTTATCCGTCGCCAAATTTGCAAGGGGTAAGTGGATTTGCTAATTTTCTATTCCTCTAAACTCGTTTAACCTACACTAATACATATTACCGAAGTCTTTTCCAAAATAGCATTCAGGCATGTCGTGGATCATCTTCAATTTCATGCAGTTATAGAAGTATTTTCTGCTAAAATATTTGTGTCTACTTATATTGCGTCAACATCATAGAATAAATCCCATTTTTAGTCTTGTGATCTATGCTCTTCTTTGACTCATAAAATTTCTGGTACCCTAAATTACCGCATTTGCTATCAGGGACGCGTAATCGAACTTGCACAGAGGCATTCCTACATCCCTCTTGTGCAATGGTGTTATTATCATGGCGGCATTTGTGAGAAACAGACACGATGAGACTTAATTCCTAGAAATTACTGTTTTAAACATCCCCGTAAATTCATCCCCTTGGGAAAAGGCTTAGGAAACTAATCCTCAAAACAGAAGTGATTTATTATGGTGAATTGTTGGAAGAATTTGCCTGTGTGTTCCGCTTCGCTTTGTATTTAAGAAATTGTGTGCAGATTTTAATGGCATTTTAAGATTTAAAATTTACAGAATAACTTACTCGAAAATCATCCAAAAATACAAATACCACACTGAACCGTGATAGCTACAACAAATGCTCACAAAATTGTATAATGACAAGATAAAGTGCAGACCAGGGTTTGAAATAATAGGGACGTGGACCACCAGTAAGACAAGTTAATCAAAATTAATGGTCTTTACAACTTCAAATATCACAAATGATGACACGTTCGGCATTATTTACGCACCACATATTCTTATTTATTTTAGGCATGATCGGTCATTTATGGTCATATGACTTTACTTTTGTGCATAATCACAAAGCAGAGTATCAAGTGGGTTGAAATGCTTGCTCAACGGTAACAGTTTAATTACCACAAATGAAATGGTATTTTGACATTTGGGAATGATGTTTGGTATTTTGAGCATTTATTTAAGTGACGATCTGCAGAGGTTTTCTGCTTTATTTACTGACTCAACCTTTTGGATACTTCATCTGAGTTGCAATCCTATCCGCTTGAGACCTGAATTAAAGGGGGCAAGTTTTGAACATACCACATTATTGTTTATGCCAATGCTGGCTTCAGCTGTCCCATCGGAGGGTACCATGTGAGAAGCAGCAAGATCCCCGATAACCGCTGAGCTATGAGTGTCGCTGTAGCATAAATACGCTAGAGTGAGTGAGCGACCTCGCAGTTCCCGGTCTGAATGCAGTAGGCTACACACGCCCGCATGCATGCACGCACGTACGCATGCCTACCTGTCCGTCCCACCAACTTCACACCTGGCCAGGTGCGAGTGCGCCCTTTGCTGCTGGGCCACGCAAAAGAGAACTTGCCCAACTGTCCACCGTGTTTCTCTTTTCCAAGGTGAAGCAGGGGAAGGAATCCCATTACTACCCAGACAAAAAAATACCAGTCAAATTACCGGATTTACGTAGTTTTTATTATGTTACCAAGCTACTCCTGTGGCATAAAAGCGAAGTTCGCTTACTTGATGACCTCAAGTAGAGCAAGGCAATTACAATACTTAAAAAGAAAATAAAGCTAGATTTAAGACTAGTGCCTTACCGATAGCAAACATAAAGCGTATATTCCCAACAGGTGATGATAGTAATTTTCGCAAGGAAGATTTGTGAATTTATTCAATCTATGTAAATTTGTTGAAAAGAAGTCTAATCGCTTAGAAACTATTTATTCAGGGAGCTAGAAGTCCTAATTGATAATTTTAACAAAGACTTTGTCACTTTCAGCTACGCTCCTTTACACGTATCTTTGGTATTCCGCATGCACTGTTATATAAGTAAATTACATTCCATATGAAACCTCTTTTTGAGAATCAAAAGATGATACGAATAAAGCATTATGGGCCTTTTCACTGTTTCTGAAAAGGCCTTAAAACTTGCTGATTTTGCATATTTTACGTTAATGGACTTATAAATAGCCGGCTGAACTGTCAATAGGTATCCGAGTTTCACTTCACAAAGGAAAGGGCAAACAATGAGCACAAAAAGTGTTGTATCGTTGCCAAGACAAGAATAACCACTATGTCAGTAAATTTGTATCCATATTCCTTTCAGTAGGGAATCTGATCATGCAAAGAAATTCTTCCAACTTAATTAACTAAATTGTGAGAGATTCTTTTTCATCACATACCAGCGGACTTGAATGGGACCTTGAATAGTGAAATTACTTAAATCGTCCCCTATCAAATCTGCGATGGGATTGGTCCTTAAAAGCTCACTAGCGCAATATTTCAGATTTTCAACAGATTTAGTGGTAGTTGATTACAGCTAAATGCATAGTTGTTACATTCACTTTTTTCCCTCATTCTAAAGCATCCAGTGGAAATTAAAACTTCATTTGATGGAAATTGATCGTGGCAGTGATGTTTGATTAGCTCCAACCGAATACCACACGCTAATAATTTGATACGATCTTACCACTACGTTGCCGTGGCAACGCTTTACGATCCATTATGCACCGTCAACTGAGGAGACCAATGCGAGCTATAGTTTGCTCCTTAAACAAAGCACCCTCCTTCTGTTTGAGCTAACGGGAAAAATGCATGAATTAAAAGTTCATTGCATTTAAATAGAAGGAGTTAACTGCTCCTAGAACCGCATATGAATATTTAAAATTCAAGTTTGCTATACTCTGAACTGAGGCAATAGTAAATCTAGCGACAGGATTAGCTTGACACATGACCTATGATATGCATACTTGTTTGTAGCAAGAAATAGCCAACTTCAAGTGTTTAAAAGGGCAAAATCCAAAAACTTTCTATTTCCGGTGTTTAAATTTCGCTGTTTGTGTTCGTGCTATTACATTAGGTGGACCGACAATAATGTGCTGTCGTGATCTCTACGCACAAGTCGAAACACCTGAAAGATATTAGTAGCCTACCTAACTTAAGTCAGTTTTCCACAAAATAAGATTAAACATAGCTAAACACAATTATTGTGGATTTGCGCTTCAGAAATTCTTGTTTCGAATTGACCAAACTAATTTCGAGCCAGCTGCATATTTATTTTTGCACTGATTCTTATCTGACTTCAAGGAATCACTGACTTTGAGCGGATACAGGAGTTAATTTTTTCCAGAATTTCTTTTTCTGTGGAAATTTCTTTGATAAACACCTGCGCTCTCCGAAGACAAGCCACCTTTAACTGGGTTAACATTTTTTTCCAATACGGCGCCGACCCGTTCCGAGGCTTAAATGCACCGAAAATCCACAAATTATCCATCTTTGTAAAACATTACGAGGACTGTTAAATCATTTTAATCTTCGACAAGTACAATTTAGACACAATGTTTATTTAGTTCCTATCCAAATACCTGTCTTATCAATGGGCAATTTCTAATTTTTGAGGTAAGTGATTTAAACCCCATTTTACTTATACATTGGGTAAAACAGCAGATCTGGGTAAAATCTTCACGCTTTTTGGCACACTGGAAAAGGCTACAACGTTGATTAAGTATCAAAGATGAGTCTGCACTTGACATGGATTTAATGAACCTTCTCTTTATTTATTTGTTAACTGCACTTCCTTCAATAAATCCCCTAAATGAATGTAAAATTGCGAACGTAATGCGAATAGGCAGATGGAAGACATGAATGGAAAGCATGCAGAGAGACTAGTCAATATGAAATGGTTGGGTTTACTTACGGCCTGTTTTGATGTTGATGTGAGCAGGAAAGTGCTTCCAGTGCACATACATACTAGCCACCTAGTTTTCGTTTTAACCTAAAAACTCGGCCAATTAAAACTTTCTGCGGAGTTCTGACTCTATTTCGTAAAAGGTTACTTTTGTATTTGTCAGTAAATACATATTTGTTGATTTAGAAAGCACTGGAATACATAAATTATTCCTATGTGTGAATTACGTTTATACTCCACAAATGGGCAAGAACAGGGTTTTTAAATGCTGAGGAAAAATATAGTATTAGTCGTTCCACAACCTTTAAATTTGTTTCTGTACATAAAAACAAGGCATAATATTGTCAAGAGAGTTCCCTCCTTCTAATCGCCATATCTAAAGTAAATCGTGGAGTCAAATAAAATAAAAGATTTTAATGTCACTTGACCTATTAGGAGAAAATTTACCTCCTGTTTTTAATCTGCTCCGAAACTATTGAATCCATCACTAACTTCCGTTTAAATATCAATGAGTTCCAAAATTTGCATTGCGATTTTAAGAGATGAAATGGCAATCGTGGGTGTGTGTAGACGCAGCTTCAAGCCGGCACCTCGGTGGACTAATAACCCATGACGGCTGCATACATGACGCATGACCTGCCAAAAAATTAATGACATTCAGGGCTGAAGTGATATTTAACTAAACAGAATAATAATACTTTAACCGGAGAAATGCAAGCTAATAATATAATAAAGAAGAAGCCGTTCTTAAAATGGAAATCGCTTAAGCTGTATAACGCTTTCGGCAAGTGGTGGCAAATACTATGTCTTGTTGAAGAACACGTATGCAAAAGATAGGAATGAAGAATACACCCAAAATAGATAGTAAGCGGACAAACGAAAGGGATATTTAAACAAAGAAATCACAAAAGCAATCGCCATCCGCTAGAATGAGGCTATTTAAATATTCCTTTAAATAGCTCTAGAAGTAGAGTTTTTCAGCGCCGAAACATGATCGAGAATTTCTTTTTCTACAATAACATGTTCATCGGCATTCGTGCAAAAGAACCCTTCAGGAATGGAGATTTTCTTCTCTTAGAATTCCAACTTTTGCCTAATTTGCAGTTTGCGCCTGTTCGACTTCAACGTGAACTAAATATTCGAGTTCTCACCACTGCATAAACGCATGCAGTTTAGCAAACGCTGCACCTCCACAATAATCAACTCTTCATTGCATCATAACCCGATCAACCCCATGTCACGTCAACTGTCATTTAGTTGCACGAGGGAAAACTTAAGGGCTGGTCTTCTTTTCACGCCTTTCAGTACTTGCCACGTAGACAGCCTCATTGGATTGCCGTTAGCACTACGCGCATCGCATGCACCCCAAGCCCTCCCCCATTCACTTGGCACTGTGGCCTCCATGCATTTTCAGATGCAGCCGTCTTTCACAAAGCCGTCAGGTGGCCTCTACTTGGACAAGAACACGTGCTACTACGACTACCGGAGGTCACGATGTTATTCGCGTTTCTCCATCTGCACTCGGGTCCCCATGAGGACTTCAGACAGTGATGCGTCTGTCTGCACACTGCGTGCTATCAGGCGAGTACCTGCCACTCCACAACTGCTCCAACACATCCCACCTCATCTCCACCACGTTCTAAACCAGACGCAGTTCGTGCGAACCAACGACGAGGAGCGCTTCTCTACTTGCCTACGCTTCAGTCAACAAGGGCCTCACTAGACTCCCACGACCCTCTTTCCTCACCTCACCCCTCCTCTCCTCTCAAAAAGGCCACTAAACACTTGAATAGGTTTTCATCCCTCTCCTTCTCGTTTCGCCCACCCTGTTTGTGCCATTGGCAACTTTCCCAGTGTACATATTGTCTATATTTGCGGTTTGTAGTCCAACATATAAATAAAAAAGAAAGTGGTTTATAAATGTGTGAGGTGTAGGAACTAGCACATACAATTTAATTTTAGATAAAATCCAAGTAGCCAATGTAGGCCGATTTTCTTTTAGCCCACCTGGAAGCTGATTAAAATCGAAACCCGTTAAGAAGAGGCTTCTGAAGATTGCATTAAGTGCGCAACCTTTTTTACCACAAGATTTTGGCTTCAGGGGTACCCATTTAGCCCTTATCTTATTATTTGGAGCTGTGTTTGTCTTTGTCTTTTCTTGGAGTTACTTTGAAATCAACCTGCTTTAAATAATGTCTGCATTGTTCTCTTAAATGCACTTACTCAAGGGCACCACTATGCATGGACTTAAACCATCCCAAACGGCCAACTGGTGCATAAAAACCATTTCCATTTAAGCCATTGTAATTACCTGTGAAACCTTATAAGGATAAAGTACAAAAAGATAAGTGTTAAATTTGTTTAATATTAAAATGGGATTTTAATTTTTCCCTCCTTGAGTCATCATAATGCGAGCCTTGTAGAATGTACCCGCATGCCAGCATTTGAATTGGAGTCTACATTGATTAAGAAATTTGGTTAATCTTCTGCAGCCATCCTGTATTGCTCCTCCTCAAAGTGCCAATACATTCAGCACGTATGCATTGGATCACTACAGTTTACTCCCACTATTTGGGGAGATCAGCATTTATGCATACTTAAATAGCACTACTAATCATCATTCAACATTCGAACTGTCCAAAGAGTAGGCTAATTTTGAAGCAGCCGTTGGAAAAAATCTACAATCTTGCTTATTCCAATGTATTTTTGGAGAGGTGTTGCAAATTCACAATTGCAGTGCTTTTTTATATAGTTAATAGAAAAAAAGGACGAAACAAGGAACTTCATCTAGACTGCGGTAAGATGGATACCTATTTGAACTGAACACTATTAGTACTCAAGGACTTCAGGCCAGTATTTTGAAATTGAGTGCTTTTCTAGTTGGTCTGGAGTATTATTGTTTGCTACATTATTTACGTTGTGAAAAATAAAACTACAAGAAAAGTCGTTTGCCAGCTTCAATATTGTGTCGAACAGCGGCCAATTTTTACTGCCTACACTTGCATCACACTTCGATTGGGAAACTCGTAATCTCGAAGTTCAATGGACTAAAAATTAATAGGCAGCCATTAATGTTGAAATTAATTCGATTTTTGCAAAATGTCAATTTTATTGTAATGAGGACCAAAAATTTGCAACAATTTATTCTAGCAGTGACTGTGAACTTTTCTACAAAGCGGGAATCGGGGACATAAAAGAAGACAAATGAACGAGTGCTCAAATTAGCTGAAATTCGATGGTGTGCTTTACGTAGGCCTGGTAGGAAAGTTACTGCGAAGGTTTCATCAGCAAACTTAAGAAGTATATTTCAAAAGCTGTCACCGTTATAAGTACAGGTACATTCATTTTGATTAAGATGATATCTCTAATGGAATGCCCATTCTTCTGGAGTCTCTAGTGATGCGTGAAGCTGTTTATAATGCAGAAGCGGAGCATTAATGGATTATCAGACACTCCACTGACATCTGCTTATCCACTTTATTTGACTTTGGGGTAGAGTTAAATGGCCCCTACTAAGTATGGCCATGAGGATCTCATCAAACTGTTTATTACGTGTAATGAATTTTAGCAAGCAGTCTGCAGACAAAGGGCCCCTTAATTTGTGCTTTCTGACTGACAAGAAAGAAGGGAAAAAGAGCGGGCAACCATGACAACTGTTGCAATATTAGGACCATCAAAAAGCAAAATCTACAGACAGGTTACCATAAAAGCAACATTCGATTTCTTTGTATCGCTCCCTGTGTGCTTTCACAGTTATCTTCCGCTAAACGTATACCAAGCAATTATCTGTATAAGTTGCGGTATTTCTTTAAAAACAGAAGGTTCTTAGTAAAATAGGATTGCTTAGTGGGGCAGCATAAAGAGGGGGTTATTGCAGCCGTTTCAAGGTTCGGAAAGGCAATTAAGGTAGGTGGGTTCTGTGTTTCAAAAAAGGATCCA